TCATATGAAGAATCTATATATATATATATACGAACAAGTATAATATTGTACTTCCAATTCTTTCTTTCACTCGTGCAAGCACATGCATACTAACACGTTTTATACGAATCAAATGCGAGGCTCTTTCGTCATTTCTGTATACATACACACATCCATCGTTTTTTCTACGTAGAACTAGAAAAGAATTAAAAAAAAAAAAAAAGACACAAAGGAAGACGAGTGTGATTAAAAATATATAAAAAAAAAAAAACAAATTATTATTATATATATATATATATAATATAAATATCAGCGTTAAATTTGTATAATTCAATTAAATCGTGGAAATCTTAGGTTTTACCCGAAATAACTAATCCTTTTTTTGGAAAGCATATAAAAAGAATTTAATTATACACTAAAACTAGTAGTTTAAGAAAACGGAGTTATATTTGAATTCACAAAAGACGAATAGTTAAATGTATGAGTACATTAAAAATCAAGAGACCTGTACGGACTAACAGAAAATTGGTTTTCAAAGGACACAAAAAGAGAAGATACGCATGGATCTACGAGCATTCATTGTTCGCGTTTATTTTATTTCTGTTTTCATCATTTTCGAAGGAAATCTAAAATATAATCCCTTAAATTAATAAATAAATATATTAGATAATATTTGCTTGAATAAGCAAGTATTAAAACTTTATTATTTTTCTTATACTTGCGAACAAATTTTAATCTCATACGTTAACTACTCGTCTCATGTCAATTCATATATTACCTAGTTGAAGTATGTAATTCTCCCTTTTTTCATATGTTAACTGATCAGTATAGTTATTTCAGGGTTTAGCTAGTCATTTCACGAATTAACGAATTTCACAAAGCAACGCAACATTTATATAAATATATATCAACGATCTAATCTAAAAACTCATAAAAACGATGGTGCTGAAAATGCCAATTCCAAAGTAGGTACGAACTTACGATCGAACAATCGTTCCATTTTCTCTCGTTTCTTTGCGACCTTTTTCATTGCACAAAGTCGCGCATTTATCAAGATACAAGTTTTCTCTTCCTCTCTCTCTCTCTCTCTCTCTCTCTCTCTCTCCCCCTTCCTTTCTCTTTTTTTTCTATTTTATATTACAACGCTTTTTCTCTCGTCGTTCTGTTTTATTATTATACAACACACACACACATGACTTTTCGTGTGAGCGCTATATCAAGAATACATAATCTTTTCTTTACATTCATTCTTCCATTTTCATTACTTCGGTCCTCGACGCTTTTCTCTTTTAATATCTTCTCCCTTTATTTCCTCGTTTTATGAATTTACTCTTTCAAGAAAAATATAAGATGTGCAATATCAGCTAGAAGAAAAATACGTCATCGTCTATATTATTTAGATACGTTCTTACCAAAGAAGAAAAAAAAAAAAAAACAAAACAAAACAAAAAAATAATTCTTCGAACTATAATGACATTGATAAATGAGGAAAAAAAACGATAGAAATAAAAATTTATCTCATAAATATAGTCTTGCTATACCGATTAGAATGATTAACATTTAATACGAATGTATTATACATGAGTGTGTTACATATCTACATCGATGATCATAAATCTAAATCAAAATGTCTCATGCGATAGAAAGATCTCATTAAACATTTTCTTCACGAGATCTATGGAGCTGTTAGATTTATGAGAAGATATATATATAGAATGATAAAGAGAAAGTGATAAAATTTGAGAGTAAGAGAAAAATATAAATGAAAATCAATTTATAATTATTATTGCAAATCCTTTTGCACGACGTTAGCGGTCGCTTAAATGTATGAGAGAGAAAAAGAACCCAAAAAAGAAAAAGAAGAAGACATAATAATTATAATACTTAACGCAGAATAATTAAATAAGGATTTAGATAAGGATTTAGTATACCAGTCCGAATTATATTCCTCCTAGCTACTGCTTATTAAAGAAACAAGTGGCTAACTTTTTTATATTTATCGTATGTGTATGTATTTGTTTGAAACGTATTTACAAAATACTTACTTGACACTTATAAAACGAGAAAAATATTACTAATCTGTACAATTTTTTTTTTTTTATTATACCTTTGGATATGCACTCCTATTTCCCTCACCCCCACCCCCCCTCCTATGTATTTTCAATGATCGCAGTAGCGAAAATAATAATAATTCGGACGGCATAGGACAAATGGAAACTATAACCACCAGGATGTATCGTCAAAATCGCGGCCGATATTTTGTCGTTTTAATATGGATAAATTACAATCGTTTTTCGCGACGATTTTAAATACTGCTATTATAGATTAAAGTTATGATATATTACTAAATATATCCGCATTGTTACTCGCTAAATATCACTATCAGAACGTTATCTCGTTTGGACAAGAAATTACGAGTCTCTGACGAGCATCAGTTACCACGAACGTTTCTTTCACGCAGATGGAACGATATCATTTTTCTTTCTAATACTAATAATATTATCAATAATAATAATAATAGTAATAATAATAATAATAATAAAATAATAATCATTGTGTGTAAGAGAATAAAAGAAAACATTCTATGTAAATCACTTGAAGCCGCTAACGTGGTGCTACGAATATCATAGCACGACAATAATTCACTTCGAAAATAACACCGATACGCCATTATTCTACATACACTTGTGCTCCTTAATCTTGTCATCTTTTTCTTGTATTTTTTATTTTGTATTTTTTTATTTCCTTTTTTTTTTTTTTTTTTTTTTTTTTTTTTTTTTTTTTTTTTTTCTTCGTTATATCTTTCCAAATCAAAATCATATCTTACACACATACATACAGTTGTCTTCTTATTGCACATTCAATGATATTTTTGAGTTCGCATCGTTTCTATTATGTATTTTTATAACAAGTAAGTATAGTATACTATCGCATTCGGTGATGGATTTTATTCTTTTCTCCTACGTTTTCGAAATTGAAATCGAAAATGCTTTTCGTAGGATTGTGAAATCGAAGAGAAATGAAAGAGAAATATATATATATATATATATGTGCTACATCTCGACACATGTGAAGATACTCGATTAACATCGAGACCGAATATTCATACGATATTCGAGATTTATGTTTGTTCGTTTTGTTTTTTTCTTCTTTTTCTCGATTTCATCTTTCGAAAACAAACCGTTGAATCACACTCTAAAGCTGCCACGGCTATAATTAATATTATTAACAATCAAACGAGTCGCCCTATTAACGATCTCATCCCAAAATGATTAATGTAACATCTCGAGGCGATATAACAGCAATCAAACGCGATACGTATACCATCATTTCGTTTATTGTAACATTTAAAGTTCGTTTTAAATACTGAATATTGCCCCGAGGTGTTTGTTAGAAAGCCCTTTGAAAGAGCATTGAGTCGTACTAGTAATGCCTTCACAAGATATTGCACTTGTGCTTTGCCATCGGAATCAGTACCCGCAAGTTTGAAGATCGATATGTGCGAGTCGACGCGAAAGAATCTGCCAGCTTCTCTATTTTAACATATGAACAAAATTTCTATTGGAAAAATATATCTCCAATTCTTGTATGAATATTTACTGAATTTTCATATATAATTTTTCTTTGACGTATTAGAAGATTAATATATATATATATATATACATACTTAAAGTTATTACTACGAAGATGAAAAAGTAACTGTAAAATAATATAAAAATTATTTCTTTTTAACGAATATAATAAAAATAAATTTGAAAAGAACGTACTTTATATAAATGAAATTTGGATAAAATAGAAAAAAAGGACTCATCATTTTATAAGTAAAAAAAAAATACGTTTTTCCATTTATCATTTCAAGATTAATATCAAAATACTTGATAAGATATTTTTTTTTCTATAGCAATGAAAGGGTAGCGTTAGAACGGTGTTAATTAAAAGGGAATATGTAGTTTCGTCAGGATTTCAATCGACTTTCGCGAAGATTCACATAGTTTTTGTGATACATTTTGCAAACAGACCGGCTTGCTATTAATTTATCTCCTAACGAGATGTTATTCATTACTTCTCTACGGGTGTCATTCAAGTTGAATTACGAGATTTAGTCATTAAGTTGGAAGAGCAAGAGAGATGCGAAGGGAGTTGAGTTCCCTCTTATAAGTTGATGATATTTTATGTAAACGTTATGTTTAATGACACCTTACTTAGAGTAGTCGATAAATTTATTTTCACGATAAACACTTCGTAACGAGGAAAATTCTATTTTGTTTCTAACTAAAAGTTAGATTACACTTTCAACGAGACAAAAAAAAAAGGTCCAAACGATTTTCTTACTTAGTAGAAGCATGACAGATTTACAAACGGTCATAGTATCGACACATAACGATAATCAATGCCATTATCAAGCATATACGATAAAATGCTATTAATGTTAAAGCTCACATCTTATAAAGAAAGGATCAATTTAGTTATAAGACAATTATGATCTCTATTGCGCGCGCGAGTCATATTACATATTTATAATGTTATTTCTTCGTATATTATTATTGTTATTCACATTATTTCATTGTTATGGGAGATTGAGTCACGGTGGCGTAGCATGGAAAATTGCCTAACATTTCTTATTATGCAAAGATGCAATATATTTTAGAAGAATCTTAGCAATCTCATTTTGTTGATAGCGACCTGCCAACTACAGATTAAGAGATAAAGGGAAATATAGGTTTATATATACATGTATATATGTATATGTATATGTATATGTATATGTATATGTAAAGAGAGAGAGAAAGTCAAATGTTAAATGTCTTTATGAAAAATCACAGCGGCCGCGTAATACCGCTTTATAAAAGTGTTTCGAGGTAAATCCGTGACGAACGAGTCACCCCTTTTGGGTTTTCGTTTGGTCCGAGAAAAATTTCACTTTGTGCGACTGATAATTATTATGTATCCCAGAAAAATCCACTGTGATCGCCGTAAATAAGATCAAGAATGATTCATAACGAGTATCTACTTTTCAATTGTTAGAGGCTCGACTTTAGTTTATGAGAAATATTTCAAATATTCGAACAATCGTTCATCTTAAAAATATCCTATTGAAAATTTCGTAGCACTATTATTATGATACTATTATGATATTTATGTATATTTATCTATAAGATATACAGTTATTACTAATGTAAAAAAAAAACATCTGTCTAAATGCAGTACAAATATTACGAAATTGAATGTTAAAATTATTTGAAATTCGTGATAAGTTAAATGCAAATCATGTATTGGCTATTGAAGAATGATCACACGATAACACTGATTTAATACATCCAATTATCGTGTGAATTATTTTTCTTTTACCAGTTTGTCTTTGATTAACTAGGCCTTCATTAAATGAAATATATGGCAGTTAATGTTAGCAAAGTTAATAAGATGTTCGATTATTCTGTAATAATTGTTAACAATATAGCCACTCGTATAATGAAACATTTTTCCTGGCATGGTCGAAACACAGTGGTGTAAAGTTGGCACTTATCGCATTAGCGAATATCATATAATAATAAAGGGGGAAAGAAAAAAAAAAAAAAAACATTCTGACCGATCCATTATGAGGATTGTTATAATACGATGAACGGTCAGAAATAATCTACGATATATTTCTTTTTTTTTCTCTAATCATCTATTAATCTTTCGTAAAATTTTTTTTTATATGTATATATATATATATATATAATATATATAATTATCGACACATCGAGGGAGCATGCTTCGTCATCATTATTATCATGGTCATCTTCATTTTCTTTTACAATAGCACTACGAAATCTACGGATAGCTGCTACGCAAATACATCAACGCTTCGAGAGAGAATACTTGATAATGTATATTACATAATATATCCTATTTTGCAAGAAAAAAAAAGAAAAAGAAACGGATAAAAAAAAGAAAAAGAAAGCCACCGCGCGGATCATATTATCTTGACTTTAAATTTTATCTTCCTTACATTTGTGTTACTATCTTTCTTTTCATATTTTAACGCGATCTTACTTTCTCAAGTTGTTTATTTCATTGATAAACGAGAACACGAGTAAATCTTACGTGTTAATTTCTATATGGAGTAATTACCTAACATTTGTAAACACGATAAATACAAAGTATGTGCGTATAGCCACGAGATGCTTCTGGTGTATCTTTTTTGGCAGTTTAAGGTTTCTCTCCCTCGTTATCTTTAGTTTTTACTCGTCCATCAATTTTTCTTCCTCTTTGTTCTATTTTCTTTCTTTTCCTTTTTTTTTTTCTCATTTTTTCCGTTTTTTTTTTTTTCTATTTTATTTTGGTTTTTATTTCTAAAGGAAATAGTGAATCAACATCAATGACTTCGACACGCAAATTTGGTTTTCTTCTCTTCTACCAAAATACGTTCTCCATCCTCTTTGAGTGGGATATGATATATGTATATATCTGTATGTGTGTGTATGTGTGTATTTGTGTATAAGTATTCTTGTCTATGTATTCGCGTACGTATGTATACCTGCGTTTGTGCAGTATATCTACGACGAAGATGAAAAACGTTTGAACGGAATTCCCTCCGAGGTTCGAACCGATTCAAAAACAAAAAAAAAAACAAAAAAGAGAAAAAAAATGAAAGAAAAAAGAAAGCACTCTTTGAAAGGCTCTCCTTTCGAATATTTTCAACAAAAATCGTTTTCCATCGTCGAATTAGAAGCGCACGTGTGAATATACGTGCTTCTTTGGTTTTACAAAAGAATGAGAAAGAAACGTACAAAGCTACTATTGGTTCGTTGTTCGACGTTTAGTAATTCCTTTTTTTGTCATTTATACACATGTATATACGTATAAATGAACGCGTTTACGTTTCAACCCTTTACAAATCGAGAATAGAAGATTCTTATTTTTAAAATCTCTTCTCATTATCTTTAAAAATAATATCTCAATTAAGAAAACAATTAAAATAATAACGAATGATAATTGTGTGCCAGATGAAGAATTTATTTTACATTATAGTGAAACTTTCGAATTCAATGTGATATACAAAATGAAAATGAATTTCGGTTTGTAAAGAGGTTTCATTATTTTTTTTCGAACCTTTTTTTTCTTTTATTATATAATCGTAACTCTATAGTTTCTTGATCATATCCCCTTCTTTATATTTTTCATTGTTCATTCTTTAGAACAAATCGTAATCACATTCGAGTATTACTACAGTCTCAGGAATATCTATGAGGTTCTTTTTAGGCTCGCTTGCGGAAAGAACAAAAAATATATATCCTGACAAAACGATTATCAATGCCCCCCCCCTCCAGCTCCTCCTCCTACATGTAATACGTTATTATTATCTTATTTAGCATCGATTTGATCGTATCCTTTATCGCTCCTTTTTAAGATCGTCTATCTTTTATAAGAATTTTTGATCCATAGCTGCATTCGAACAAAAATTTTTCTCATCATCGTGTCTTCTATATCTTGTTTCCTTTTCTTCTTTTCTTTTTTTGCGCTCGTTCGTCAATCATTTTCTAAGGAGTATTAATATAATTTAATAAAGATATAATTATGTATACATATATAGTGTATATACATATGCATACATAACTATATCATCTATAATATATATATAGATTTATATATTTCTATATTTTATTTTTTCGCGTTTTTTTTTTTGCTAAAGCATCGTCATTTAATCGCGAGGTTCGTCGGATTAGTTAATACACAATAAATACAGCTACTGTTATCTATACGTATATATATATAATCATTATAATAATATTATGCTTAACGCGAAGTATCAAACGAGATAAGGACTCTCAGTCTTGAATAATGAAACGTCGAAAAAACAGTGGCCACTTTGAATGGAAAATTGGAGAAAAATTTGAAAAAAATAAATAACAAAAAAATTATTAAAAATTATTCAGAGAAATGTGGTGATCGAACGTCACGCAGCTTTCGCGTCCAATCTTTTTCGATTGACGGAAAAAGATTGGTTTCTTTTTTTTTCAGCCTCAGAATCTCAGTCATTGTTAATAATTAATTGTGGAAGGGTTGATGAAGCGATATCCGTGTAATATGTGTTTATGTTGTGTGACGTGGGTCATGATACACTAAGTTTCTTGTTCCTTTTTCCCTTCCATTTTTTTTTCAATGGGAATGTGACAGATAAATCGACTCGAACTTAATAAAATGGTCTTTCGTTGGGATAATATGACGCACATATGTAATTCATTTTCTTTTTTTTTTTATATTATTACTCATATAAGAATACGTAAGAAGATATGCTCAAAATACGCGAATACGTTTAAAATTAATTACGAATGATCGTTAATACGATAGTATTAGAAAATATTAACGCACGCGTTTAAAATCTTACAAATTTCCATAATAGCAATTAATTGAATGTATTTCTTTTCACCGAATAAATATACTTTCGGACACAATTTATGCGAATACTCAAAAAGATTCGTATTTTTTATAACGATTGTCGCGTAATTCGATTATCTTCAAAGAATAAAATATATATATATTTAAATGGTCATTATTATCGAATTATGACGATCAATATAATATTAAAAATTATAATTGCAAATTTTGAAAAAATCTTGGCGAACTTAACCGATTGATCAATGTGTGCGTCATTAAAATCACAGAGTATTTCGTCATTGAAGAAATAATATACGTTACTTACCTTCGCGTATTTTCAAGACCATATGAATGTACATACGTTTAATAGTAGTTGAAAAGTGCACGATGTTATCCTGCCAGAATGTACATATCTAAGTTATGTTGTACAGAAACTAGAAATTAAACAGGTTGATAAAACGGTATTATCACCAACGGGATCTTCGTATCTTCGAAGTTCAATCGATGGTTCGTTATTAATTCTAAAGAAATATTCACGTTCTTCCGATTGCATTTTACTTAGTGTGACTAGGTTCGAGCAAAATTCCAAACGATTATTTAACATTGATTTAACTTTCGATAGCAATTATTCGACATTACTGTAATCTTAATAAGAAAAACAATAAAGCGAAAAATCGCTAAACAAACGCGAGGGAATGCTCGTACATCGTTGAACGAGTGAACGATCGATGAATTCTCGATAGTAGGCCAAAAATAATATTATAAGTCCGAGACCGATCGAAATGACGAACGATTATCGAATCTAAAAATACGTATACCCAATTAAAATCCAATTAATCCGAAGAAAATAGTTTAAAGTTCCTCGGATAGAGCTATTGGTGCTCGAGAACCAGGTTTCATATCTTTGACACCGACTCCTATGTCGTCTACCGGTACCGGAGGTGCTAACTTCAGTTGATTCCCGTTCACTTTGATATCGTTTACGGAATGAGAACGACCATGAGTTAATAGAGATTTTGCGGTAGTTTGGTTGGTACTGGTATTCGAATGCGAGCTAGCAGCTGAATTCGAGCTGGGACTCGACGCTGAATTCGTACAGTTGGCTGTTACGTTCGAACCAGAACTGGAACTGGAGTTCGTTTCTTGCGAGGTGCTCACGGAATGACCGTTGGGATTAGGAATGGACTTGGATCGTGACTTTGCTTTGAGATTCGATGTTGAATTGTGATTACTTGGAATGGTTGCAGTGATCTCATGATCGCTTTCTCGGACCTGTTCAATAGTTGAATCGGGAGAGGATGTCTTTGCCATTATCCCACTGGATTTAGTTGTGCCAGTGAGCGAAACTAACTGATTAGCCGATTGAGAACGCACAGCGTGTCCCCCTAACTTGTCTCTCAATGCCATCTGATAAGCTACCTCGAATGCTTGGCCCAGTGTTAGGATGACTTCGGTTGCTTGGTCCTGAAACAAACGCGTGTCCTCTCTCTTTCACTGCTAAAAATATTATGATTGTTCTCTATAATGCGTCTGAAGTATTGCATGAAATGTAAACAAATATTTCAGAACAATTAAACTACTTTATCCATTTAGATTATTATGCGATTGTCGAGTATAGGACGTAACGCGATATCTTTTATTAAAAAGTTACTCGAATATCTTATGTTTTTTTTATTTATAGAATATTTGTTTACATTAAGCACTATATACGAATAAATAAGGTATATTTATGAACTTTGAATGAATATATCTCGAAAATTATATCGCTTCTAACGAATTTATAGTTTACGATATTATTTTTCTCGCAAAAAGTATATCACGAAACAATTTTCAAATTTAGATAACTATCTTATTAAATATTTGTCATATATTAATCATTTTCTGCTGTTATTAAAAATTTGTAATATAAAATAAAAGAGAACTAATAAATTTCGCATTGATGATGCTCTTCAGGTTCTTCACTAGTTCTAAGCTTTCAAGTTTGTTATGTAAAACTTATGGCGCTCGAGTTGGAATTTATTATACGAGCCGGAAACTTTAAAAGGCAGTATCAAAGATGTATATGAACTCATACCCCAATATCCAAGGGTATTTCAAACTTGCAAAACGCAAGGAACAAGCGTGAAGTTTCATTCATAGAGAGTAGAGGAAAGCTTCGAGACTGCTCGAAAGTTTTGACCAAAGATCAAAGTATCAAACGTTACGAGCAGGTTTTGCCGCGCGTAAGCCGCAACTTTGTTTCCGAACGACTACGATCGATAACACTATAACGTGATATTAGGAACAATATGATGACATCTGAATCTATCTCTGTTAAACCAAGAAATCGAATAAAAGATGGTCTTGGATTGTGAACAATTTCGAATGAGTTTCGAATGTTTCGAAACTAAACACAAACGCAAACAAATAAATAAATATAATGATATATAAATTTACCATTGTTGGCACGCAGAATACGTGACAGAAATGCGTGCGACTCGCGTGATCCTTGGTGATGTAGGCAAAATGTGTGAGATCGTCGGCATCCTGACAAGCACAGTGAATGTTGCGTATCTCATGTTCGCATATTGGCTCCTATTAAATCCACAAATTTGAAAGGAAAAGAAAAAAAGTATGTAAAAAATGATCACACATACTCGTTTCAAATTCTAAGGTTCTTAATTTTTGAACCACGACCTATTTTTCGACAATTACAACATTTTTATCTGCAAATATGATATATATATCTTTTGTCAAACAATAAGACAAGATAAGTGAAATTACGAGTTGACTATTTTGACTCGACTTTTGAACCTTAGTCTTGGAATGAAAATCAAGAACCCTTGGTACTTAACGAGATTTCAAATCTTACATTGGTCAATGTATTCAGAAAGCGAACGCCTCGATAAGAGATAGCAAGGGTTATGTCAGGCGTGACTCTGGTGTCACGACAAGTCTTCTTGAGTTTCTGAATAGATTTCTTGGTCGACTCGGTGCCTCTTAACTCTTTCACGACGGTGGAGCCCAGGTACTGTGTTATTTTGGAAATAATACAAAAGTACGCATCTTTCGTTTAGAAATGGCTAAACTGAATAAATGTGAATAAAAGTATATATGTATAAACAATTGTGAACTTACGTTGGCGACGTAAGTGACGCAACCAGTGACTAGAGCCTTGGGTTGATGCCTCCATTGCGTTTTCAAGGTAGATGGTACACCAAATAATAGTTCCGAAGGTGCTCTGATTTCGAGCTGTTCAGGAGCAGTAATTGCACCATTGTGTGAACTTGGTCGCTGAGGTGGTTGTGGTGCTGGTCTGTTTTTGCGATGCCTAAGTGTACCCGTGTTCGTAGAATTTGGCACGGTTACTGGAACACTACCCCCGTTACTTTCCCCCGTTGTTTCCGGCAATTTTTCTCGTATTTCCTCCTTCAGTTGTTGTATGTTTGTTTTCTGGGGAAACCAATAACGACGAAACTATCGTCATTTCTACGTTCCACTTTATTAAAAATACCGAACTACCGAAGATACTGTTTTTCTATCGCGTCATTATAGTAAATAAAATTCTAGATATATATGTGTACGTTTCCGATCTGATCTTAAATAATCCCCTTTTCTTTGTTTGTTTAAATAAACCTGATGACCAAGAAACAATCATTTATTCATCTACGAATCGTATTGGACGAAGTGAGGGTATTAACTCGAAAAGAAAGAAAAAAGAAGAAAAAAAAAAGCAAGTGCGTGAATGGGAGAAGAGAAGAGATGAGATGAGATCGAAGAACAAGTACCGTCTGAGAATACATTTCTGTGTGCACTCGATGAGATTTTATTGGATCGCACCTTAATGTAATCGTAGCTAATTGGAGAGGTCGTATCGTAAAGCTTTCGCGTATAATGCGCAAACATGCGTACGCACTCGCGAGGATACAAACGCGTATCGAAGAGCAACCTTTCAGCCTGATCATTCGTGCGATGATTAATATTTTTTGTTCGGAATCTTTCAGCGTATCAGACGACATCAGGTATAACCCCTAAAGCACCAATATGGACCAGTCACCACCATCCATGAGCCCTTCGTTTCGCGCTCTCTTAATTAGCTCATTAAATTCTGCTAATATCCCTTCGCGTTGATGGGATTCGATCAACTTGCCGACGACCTTCTTCTTCTCGAAATTTCCCTTAACGTGTGATAATCCTAACAAATTGGTCTCTTACGCTTTTCTGCTTGACGATCGACGAATGTCAATCGAATTCGACGCCTCCTACGTTTCGTTGATACCGTGCGTCGTTCAACGAACCGATCTCTCTCTCTCTCTCTCTCTCTCTCTCTCTCTCTCTCTTTCTCTCTCTTTCCCGATTCCACGGTTCGAGTTCTCTTTTAATCACATTTCCGAATTTTACGCCATGAGAGGAATCCTGCGTAACATTCGTCAATACAATAGATTTTGTTATACGATTTTAGGTATAGATCGTTTGTTTCGAAAAACCCCGATCTTTCGGATCTACAATTATTTTCTAGAAATTCTTCACGAATTAAACAAAATCTCTTTTCATACTACGATATTTTGCTCAATTTTTTATTTATTTCATTATAGCTGCGTAATAATATTTCTTTTTTTATTCTAACGAATAAATGTTTTTCACTGACCTGTTTCAGATCCAAAAAGAAATTTTTCAAACTTTGCAACATACTGACGTTCGGTTGTTACCGCGGTTTTGATAACTTTTCTTAAAGCTATACATAGATACTTTTTAATACGGGATGCATTTGCGAATACTACTTGCAAATAGTAAAATATTCACGAAAGTAAATAGTTTTTGACATAACACGTCGAAATAAATGCTACTTTCGACACAAGTGATCTCACTACACTACCGATCGAAAGTTTGGGTGTACGTCAACTAAAACTACTTCTTACCATACCATTTATATCTAATCGTAGTAGATGTAAATAATTTACGGTGACATCATCACCTCAGTTCGTAGAAGACCTGATACTTGGAAACAAGAACAAAGCTAAACATCGGAGGTATTGTAACGTGATATCATAAACAATATATTGATTACTGCGAAAGCATATTTAATTTTAAACAGAGAAACCGGATAAATTTTGAAAACATTAAAGTCATATAAAAAAAAGAAAAGGTGCAATAAAAAAAGAATGTTAAAAAATAATCGAATCTATAGATTGTACAAAAGTATATAATACAAATGCAATAAATGTACTTCAATTTTCGACCGGTAGTGTAAATAACGATATTAAACATGTTAAATTATATTATTCTAAGGCAATTTAAAAAAAGCTTATATATTAAAAGAATTTGTAACTTACCAAAGTGTTTAGATCCTTATTGAGATCCTCCAGGTTAGGACCAGTGCCATTTCGCGTTTGAGGTCGAGGATTCGGTCCACTGACCGAAGCCAAAATTCGTTTTCGATGTGCCGGCTTTTGAATTTCCAATACTGCTGCCAACTCGACTTCCCAAATGCGACTAACACGATCCATGTCAGTGTAAAGATGTTTTCTAAAGGTTTCCATATAGTTCTCCATGTGAATGCTTTTCAGCCATTCGTCCACACTTTGACAGTGATTACCAAGACGTTTCTCTACGCGTTTATTCAACAAACCAGCAGCGTCCATGATTATCGCACGTTCTTGATCGCTATTGATTCCCATGTCTCTCAAGTCGGACTCGTCCAAAACTCCATTCTTCAAGTATAAGATTGAAATATTTAAATGAACGAACTTTTAAAAATATATACTATATATATACATATTTAAATATACTTACTATAAACTCGAGGTCATCGAAACCGTAGTCTATGAAAAGAGATTCGTAATCAGCGAGTCCTAAACTTGCTAACCATTGACCGACCGACGTGGAAACAATAGGACTGCTGCTGGTATCAGAACTTAAACCTAAAAGAAAAATAAAAAACAAAAAATATATTCAACTATTATCATAATCTTTTTCCATAAAAATAGTAACATATTAATATATATTCTATTACCCAATTAATTTATAATTTATAATAATTACAGATCTGCGTTAATCCTAAAAATAAATCATATGATTACCTAATCTCGTTTGGAATTCTTTTTCAAGTTCAGTGACGAAAACCGATTCTCGAACGAGTCCCGTGCCGAAAGATGCCATAATCTCAGAAATTTTAGCCCATTCTTCTTGTTCATCGAACGGACTCATAATGCTAAGTGATTTTTCGTCTCTTTCACGATCCCTATCCGATAATCGGAAATTTACTTCGTCGTCTTCTGGACGTTCTCCACCACCACCTCCGCCACCCTCCCCGCCGGTTCCTATTCCGCATGCAGATTGTCCGTAAACGTTCCGCAAGCGGCGCAATGTACGCGGCCGCTCCGCCGTGACGGAACCCTTTAACAAACCTGTTGATAAGCACAACAAATAAAAATGAGTTGATGAATGATGATTGAGGAATTCCCAAATGTGATTTGTTTTGTTTTTTTGGTTTTATATTTCACGGATCCAATCATTGTTCTATTTCTTTGCATTTATAAATTAAATTTAGAGATACAGAAAATCGAATGAAAAAATCGAATTTATTATGAATAATAGAATGAGTAAAGAATGTCATTGATTTTTTTTTTTTTTTTATATGAAAGATAAAATAGAATTAATAAAAAAACATAGCTTCCATATCATTGATCGTGAATCTTATTAAACAACCATAACACCCACATGCATAATTCATATACAAAACACATTTACAATTACATTTATTGATAAATATAATACTTTGGACATAAAATAATCATCGTTCGATGAGGACACAAAATTATTATTATATATACATTTATAGAAAGAGAAAAAACGAGAAACTTTACATACAAAAAGTCGTACAATTTAAAAGAATCATAATATAATCGTCCTAAAGAATTTATCATTTGTTGTTTTCTCGAATGAGACGAAAAATAAAGTAAGTATTTCGAGAGAGAGAAACGGAAAAGATTAAATCCTATGTGGTAGATAGTTCGATCAATGTTTCGATCAAATACGAACAATACATATGTTCATACTTGTGTTCTCACAGTGGAAAACGAATACGGATAAACGGACGTCACAGAGAAAAAATTTGTTTGAAGCTCGACGTCCCGTAAAAAAAAGGGAGAGAAAGAGAGTGTAAGAGAAAAAGAGAAATCGTTTCCGAGGGTCGAATGATTTACAGATACCAACATTTTTTCCCTCTTTTTCTTGTCGGTCATTGGACAAGAATTTTCGAAAATATATAGATAGATATATATATCTAAAGACTCACACGCGCTTACAAAATTATTCACAGTTGAGATGATACAGCTCTATTAAAATCATACTCGTGAAAGGATGCAAGTATAGAAAGACTTCGTTTTGTAAAATATTATACATATAGTTTCTTGATGAATTATAACCGAACTGGATAGTGAAATTAAAAAGAAAAATAACATTTTAAATAAAAATTCTATTGTACGATTGTATCCTATCATCATCTAATTAATATATTCATATTATCGATTTAAAAACTTTATGTTATGTATATTCGTGATGTTTATTTCATATCATTAGATAAAAAAAATCAAACGTTCTATCAGGATCGATAAAAACATAATTACAAGCAGAATAAAAATATACTCGAACAGGAAAATATTGCAAAGTTTTCTTGGAAGTGATTGTATATATGAAAAACAGATGGGAAAAAAAATATATATATGCATATCTATTTCTATTTCTTTCTTTCCTTTTTTGTATCACACGTAAATTTATATCACGTTCGTTTTACCATATATTTTAGCATGGATAAATGCTACAAAAAATATAGGTAATATTACGTGATAAATATTTATGTTTTGAGTTTTTCTGCTTTTTAATATGTTCATCCTTCTTTTCCAAATACGATGGTTTTTCTTTTCACTTAGTTGCTATGTTACCTATGTATATATATATATATATATACATATATAATATCTGTTTATCGTAATATTCATTAGACGAAAATACCCTCCCACACTTGTTACCATTTGCTACGATATAAACAAAAAGCTTTATATAAAGATGCAAAATAATAATACCATCCCGTTGAAGTCCGGGTTGAAATATACAAATTAAAATGCAAAAAAAAAAAAAAAAAAAAAAAAAAAANATATATATATATACATATATAATATCTGTTTATCGTAATATTCATTAGACGAAAATACCCTCCCACACTTGTTACCATTTGCTACGATATAAACATAAAGTTTTATACAAATTTTTATTTTTATAATTCTTATTATTTAAAGGACGGTTGGAAATGTTAAAAAAAAAAAAAAAAAAAAAAAAGAAATAAGAATTAAAATAAGGAAAATATTTATTGATATGTATATAAAGTGATAAATATACATATCATATATATTATATCATATGTATATAAATATATATAATATTTATTGAATATTGAATTCTCTCTTGGTCGAAGCGGTTCGTAAAAACGGAATAATTTATTTCTAACGTGAGTTCCGCGTTGATTGATTATACTAGATGCAGATAATTATAAATATTATAATCGTTATAATCTTAAATTATTATTATATAATACAAGAAAGTTATTTTCAAGTATAATTTTCGTGTGACAAAACTCGAAACAATGATTAATACGTAAACCAACATTGTATTATTTTAGTTTGTATCGACAAACACGTATATGCATCCATATTCCATGCTGGCAACTTTTATTAAACGCATATGTATGTATATGTGTGTGTTGATAGTACTCAAAGGGTTAATTCAAATCAACACCGTTAGATAGAGAACAGTATAAGTAATAGAAACGATCGATGGGGAAACACGAAATACAACAAACCTGTTGTATAAACGCGTTCAAAAGTTATTATGTACATATGAATATAATAAACAAAATATATTTGTATATTTAAATATATATAATAATATCTAGAAAGATAATTTTAAGTCGAACTATGTCCGAACGGTTAAAGCGTTAATATTTCGGTATTTGTTACGAGCATATATGTATCAGCGTCTATTAATATCAGTAACAGGGATCAACGAATCTTAACCGATTGTGGTTCCTTGTCATATTATAGTTCTCGGTAACACCTGCTGCCAACGTAATCATTCGAGGAAGCTAGTTAGACAAAGAGAAATCTAACATGAAATTGCTGTATCATATAAGTCAATTACAATTGATTTGGTTCATAACATGATATTATAGTTACGTATATTTCATTTGTTGCGATTTAATTGGCGTTAGACTCGTTCGCGCGTGAATAGATTAGAATAGTAGATAACATCGGGTAATCGTTCACGACTCTCAAGACGATTTATCTCAATGCATTACATTATCTTCCGCTCAGATAACAATCAGCCTTTAACATACGTTCTGTCAAGTTTAAGTGGCAACGATTATGCGACGCGGTGATTCGTCGTCTACTTAACAGTTCAATGGAATAATAACATCGTCGTTAAACCCTACTACATTATCTGAAATAAAATGCCAAACAGATAGAAAAATATCGAATTATCTGTCATATCTATTCTTTAATGATAATCATTATCAACCGAATTATCTTAACGTAAAATATGTAGGTGCCATTGTGAAAGGCATTAGTTGTGTGTAGCGCGCGTACAATTAAAAAGATTATTTTTTTTTTTATCAATTTTGTTGGACCTAATATAAAGACTGAAGTAGATAATGTTATCATCCGAATAATATCGGAACGCTGACCTTCATTTGCTATTTTAATCCATCACTTTGTCGAACATTTTCTATTTCTTTGAAATTTATTAAATTTTAAACGAAAAGAAAATCAAATAAAATACAGTAGTCATAAAAAGGCTAATAATAGAAAAAGTCTTTTGCGTGGCGTTCCTTTTTTTTCACAAATCTACGCGTAAAAATTCTTCGATGTCTCTTTTGAATATAGAATATTTCGAAATAGAAAACAAAATACCACGCGATACCACAAACTCTCTCTGCTTATAAATATCCTAGGCAAAGCATCGACCGTAAATTGGAACGATGAGTAATCGAATTTGCCGTGAGTAAAAAACATATTCAGAAAACTGACGTTGACAGCCTACCGCAAAATACAGTCAATGGAAGACATCCTGAATAGAAAGAAATTTTTTTTACCAGAAAATATTTCATATAACGTTAGAGCCAACATACCGTAAACATCGAAAAAAAAAAGAACGAGCTATACATTTCTTTAAAAAAAAAAACAAATCAAAACTAGAGGAATAATAATTCGGATGCTATATATATAATTAATTCGCATTTTTATCGTAGTATTTAAAATCACGGTTTCTTCATTGCGAAATTAAAAAAGAAATGTTTCAATTTGTAATTTTTTTCCGAAAAAAATATCCTTTAAGTAAAAAATCATTACGACGTATCTAAAATTTGTCAAGTGACAAATATTTAACGATACTTACAGTCTAATTGTAATGGTGCGGGTCTTGGGACAGCGAGCTTGAACGCCAGAGACTAAAGTTAGAAACCCATCTAAGAATATCAGAATTGCGAGGCCAGAATAGACCAGAGGAATAACATTAAGTGAAAATCTACCGTTATTCGAATCTACAGAATTAACAAGAACGATGAAAGAAACTCGATATTTTTATATCTATCGCATTCCTGTTCTCTATTTCTACATACAGATTCTCAGTCACTCTTTTCGTAATTGGACCAGACTCGTTATTTACATTGACAACTTTTACAACTACGACACGCCAAAAAGAAAGAGAAAACAATCTTTCCTATTGAAGGAATGTATGTATTTTATCTAACATTTTGACTTTTTTAACACCTAAGACTATTAATTCTATATTTCTGATCCTTTAGAATCACAAATAATAAAAAGAAAAATAAACGAAATATGTAAGAACATTATTAAGGAAAATATTTCAACAAAATAATACATCATCGATCATAGAAATATCTCATTCTATCGACGAATAATATTGTTACAGGGAATATGCATAAGCAGATGAATTAAAAATTATCAAGTCGTTTCTTCCAACTGGATTTATTCAGAAAGTACTCGACTTTCTTGAAGTGCATACGTTATATATATGTGTGTGGTACGTACGGTAGCTCTTGAAACATTAATTAACCGTACGATATTTTTCCCGCAGGTACAAAGTGGAAGAGGACGAAGTTGTTCCGAGACAAAAGAATAAAGAAAAGAGAAAAGAAGAAAAAAAAGAAAGAAAGAAAAGAAAAGAAAAGAAAAGAAAGGGGGAAAAAAGGAAAAACTGCACAATCCTCACCTCGAACAGGACAGTAATACCTATATACTCGTGTTGTCCTCGCGATGTGACGTAATCCGTGTCGTCGTACCGTGCAAACTATTATTACGTCAAGGGAACGTAAGAAGCAACAAGTATCGCG